GGTTTGGGGGTTGCACTTTATCTTTTGCTGCATTAGGGGGCCAAACAGATCAGCTAGGCACTTGTATGGATGTATTTCCAATATGAAGATACCTTCTACACCCTGTACAATTACCACAATGAAAAAGTATCCCAAATATATACTACACAAACCTCAGGCTTCAAAATGCTATCTTCACTGTCAAGTAAACCTTCGCAATAGGATGTATTCTTTAATTACAGGAGTATTGCAACTTAGCACAGCCTATTGCCTTTCCAAATCCTTTGATTTCACATTTATTATCTTGTAATCACTTAAGGGCAGCTTCTAGTATTAGTCATTTTATTAAGCCTGTTTGGGAAGTGATATAACTTATTTTGAATGCAGCTACTTTTATAGTTATTTAAGAAACAGATCACAACATACCTCAGCCACTGTTAAAAATAAATAAAATGATTTGCTGGGATTGCTTTTCTTGGAGTTTTTCATTGACAGTCCAGAATTTAAAGTCCCCATCTGCCTACTAGGCCAGGACAAAGCAGTTCTGTAAAGCCTTACCCTACTACCCCTCCTCTTATTAAAGATCAATGTAAAGGTATTACAAACATGTCTTAAGATCATAAGTAGCTAGCTATCTCTCATATTAAAAAAATGACATTATATTGGGCTGTTATAGGTAATCCCTGCAAAAGCAGAGGCTTGTAACAATAATTGGTAGTTTGTTCTCTATGACAAACCATGGCCAAAAGATTTACTAGTGACTAATTGGGGTGGGTACCACAACAAAAACACTTCCACGCTGTATGCTTGCTTTGTCCAGGCTGTTACTAATAGTGGTGTTGACAGGGGCCTGGGAATCAATCACAATAATTTTTGGTGAAAGATTACAACATTTTTTAAGTTTTGGATAGCAGTATTAAATAAACACTGTTGTATTATAATCTTGAGCAGGGAGTTTTGGTGCAATTGGAAGAAAGAAGTTAAAATGATTGTAAAGGTAAAATTTTTTTTTTCTCTAAATAATAAACATGTCATACTTACCTGCTTTGTGCAGTGGTTTTGCACAGAGCTGTCCTGATCCTCCTCTCCTCAGGTCCCCTACTGCTGCTCCAGGCCCCTTCCCCCTGTAGAGTGCCTCCAGAGCAAGCTGCTTGCTCAGGGGCCACTCGTGCGTGCTTGCTAGAGAGCTGCTTCTGTGTGTCTAAGACCTACAGAGCGCAGCTTGGCCCTGCTCTCCCGCTTCCTTCTTACTGGCTGTGATTGCCATTGACTCCCACTGCTGTATCTCAGCCAATGAGAAGACAGACCCAGGTGAGCTTCTGCTCTCATGCACATTGCTGGATTGGGCTCAGATTCAGGTAAGTATAAACAGGGCAGCCATCAGAAATTTTGGGCCCCTTACCAGCTTTAGGCCTGGGCCCCCCGGGCCTTACCACCAGCATTGCTCAGTGTCCACCCCCCAGACGTCCCACAAAATCCACCCATCAACCATCCCACCAAATTCTTTAGTGCACCAACTTTTATTTTAACACTCTTACACTTGTCATTTTCATATATTAAGTTGTATTTCAAGTGCTTTCAATATTTAATGGTAAGGAACTATATTTCGGACAAAAAAATATAAGAAAACTAAACAAAACTCCAAAACAAAACAAATATGTTCAGCAAAGAGACATCCTCATGTAGCAAAGAAACTGCCCAATCCAACAAAGAGGCATCCTGATATTTTCAGCAAAGAGATGGATTTGGCCCAATCCAGCAAACACATACCCATATATTCAGTAACAAAACATCTCAATCCAGCAGAGCTATCCCTATATCTTTAGCAAAGAGACATTCTCATTTAGCTAAAAGACAGCCACAGCACATGCCCACATCCAGCAACATTAACACTTGCACACAAACACAGCCCCTACTTATCAAGAAGGTCTTCCTAGTCCCAGCTCCTGTTTCCACAAAGCTGACAGGTCGTTGTGATGCAGAGAGGAACCAATACAGGCAGAACATGAGTAGTGCACATGTAGGAAGCAGCCATAAGTGGCAGTAATGAGCTGACGTGAGCTCAATGACACAGCAGTTGCTGACTCTTGTGTAGTGCTAGAGAAAGGCATGCTCCTCCTGCCCCTGCCTTCTTCCGACACCTTAGGAGGCCTGGGCCCCCTAGATGCATATTGACTCTCCCCCTCTCCCTGATGGCAGCCCTGAGTATAAGGGGGGAGCTGCACACTAAAGGTTTTTACCTTCATGCATAAAATGTATCAAGGTTAAAAAAAAAAAAAAAAAACAGCCTTTAGAGCCACTTTAAAACTTAACTATCAACATTGAAGTAGCAACCTTTGGACAGTGGAATTAAAGCAAAAAAGGTAAGCTTTAGTGTTAGTTCACAGCTACCTGTTGCTGCTGCAACCTGACCGAAGATATGCCCCACATACTAGAACCTGGTGCAGCATCATTGACTTCCATTCTATTTGCTGGATGGGCGGCCATCCAGTGCAGCGAAGATGGCAAGTGCAGACAGTGACTGAATGGGCGAGCCCTCTCTAGGTATAGTAGTGTGTCTGCTTGTTAAAGTAGAACTAGGCCATACCTAACTAATCTTAGGCTCTTTAAAACACAGCAACACCTACAGGTGAAACTCAAAAAATTAGAATATCATGCAACAATTCATTTATATCAGTAATGCAACTTAAAAGGTGAAACTAATATATGAGATAGACTCATTACATGCAAAGCAAGATAGTTCAAGCTGTGATTTGTCATAATTGTGATGATTATGGCTTACAGCTCACGAAAACCTCAAATCCACAATCTCAGAAAATTAAAATATTGTGAAAGGTGCAATATTCTAGGCTCAAAGTGTCCCACTCTAATCAGATAATTAAGCCATAACACCTGCAAAGGGTTCCTGAGCCTTTAAATGGTCTCTCAGTCTGGTTCAGTAGGAATCACAATCATGGGAAAGACTGCTGAACCTGACTGTTGTGCAGAAAACCATCATTGACACCCTCCATAAGGAGGGAAAGCCTCAAAAGGTAATTGCAAAAGAAGTTGGATGTTCCCAAAGTGCTGTATCAAAGCACATTAATAGAAAGTTATGTGGAAGGGAAAAGTGTGGAAGAAAAAGGTGCACAAGCAGCAGGGATGACCGCAGCCTGGAGAGGATTGTCAGGAAAAGGCCATTCAAAAGTGTTGGGGACTTTCACAAGGAGTGAACTGAGGCTGGAGTCAGTGCATCAAGAGCCACCACACACAGACGGATCCTGGCCATGGGCTTCAAATGTCATATTCCTCTTGTCAAGCCGCTCCTGAACAACAAACAATGTCAGAAGCATCTTACCTGGGCTAAACAAAAAAAACAGACCTGGTCTGTTGCGCAGTGGTCCAAAGTCCTCTTTTCTGATGAGAGCAACTTTTGCATCTCATTTGGAAACCAAGGACCCAGAGTATGGAGGAAGAATGGAGAGGCACACACTGCAAGATGCTTGAAGTTCAGTGTGAAGTTTCCACAGTCTGTGTTGATTTGGGGAGCGATGTCATCTGCTGGTGTTGATCTACTGTGCTTCATTAAGTCCAGGGTCAACGCAGCCATCTACCAGGAGATTTTGGAGCACTTCATGCTTCCTTCCGCGGATGAGCTTTATGGGGATGCTGACTTCATTTTCCAGCAGGACTTGGCACCTGCCCACACTGCCAAAAGCACCAAAACCTGGTTCAGTGACCGTGGGATTACTGTGCTTGATTGACCAGCAAACTCGCCTGACCTGAACCCCATAGAGAATCTATGGGGCATTGCCAAGAGAAAGATGAGAGACATGATACCGAACCATGCAGAAGAGCTGAAGGCCGCTATTGAAGCCTCCTGGTCTTCCATAACACTTAAGCAGTGCCACAGGCTGATAGCTTCCATGCCATGCCGCATTGAGGCAGTAATTGCTGCAAAAGGGGCCCAAACCAAGTACCGAGTACATATGCATGCTTATACTTTTCAGAGGTCCAATATTGTTCTATGTACAATCCTTGTTTTATTGATTGCATGTAATATTCTAATTTTCTGAGATTGTGGATTTGGGGTTTTCATGACCTGTAAACCATAATCATCACAATGATGACAAATCATGGCTTGAACTATCTTGCTTTGCATGTAATGAGTCTATCTCATATATTAGTTTCACCTTTTAAGTTGCATTACTGAAATAAATGAACTTTTGCATGATATTCTAATTTTTCGAGTTTCACCTGTATATGCAACATCCAGGAGGTAGGCTTTAACCTTGGGCACCACATATATATTCCTGTGTTTGGAAGCACAGAGACTAGGCTCTCACCAAGAGACCTAGGTCTCCTACTAGCAATCAGGAACCAGGAGTCCCATGGGTTGTTCTTTGGTGGTAAGGTTGTGGTAATTGCAAGAAATATACAGCTAGATTTAATTAATTTGTGGTTTTTAAACTATTTTGGGCTGGTTTTCCTTTGAAAAAAAAAAGAAAAACAAACAGGAGATATGTTACCATTTACCACCAAATGAAAGTCCCAATTTGCCCTGGAAAAAAGAAAAGTATAATTCACTTGAACACACAAAGTAGTTGCAATCATATGTACAGTTTTACCAATGCATGTTAACCACTTGTCCTCCAGAGGATTTACCCCCCCTTCCTGAGCAGGCGCTGCATTACTTTAACTGACAATTGCGCAGTCATGCAACGCTGCACCCAACTTATATTTACATTCTTATTTTCCCACAAATAGAGCTTTCTTGTGGTGGTATTTGATCGTTTGGGCATTTTTTTATTTTTGGCACTATAAAAAAAAAAAAGACTGACAATTTTGAGTAAAAAAATTATTTTTGACTTTTTGCTATTAAACATGTCCAGTTAAAAGAAAAAAAAAAAATCACATTTCATCATAAATTTAGGCCAAAATATATGCTGTGACATGGCTTTGCTAAAGAAAAATCCCAATACATGTAAATTAATTGGTTTACTAGATATACTGGGATTTTTTTTTACTAATAATGGAGGCGATCAGCAACTTATAGCGAGACTGCAGTGGACATTCTGACACTGGGGGGAACTGACTTGGTCTCACTGACATCCCTAGTGACACCAATACAGTGATCAGTGCTAATAAAAAGCACTGTATATAAAGAGTAGTAAAAAGCGCCTTAGTGTAAATAAACAAGCTGCTATGCACAAAATTAGGTACCAATAACCTATGAAAGAGACAATGTATGTGACAAGTGCAGCGCTCGTAGCTAATAGAATGAATGGATGAAATACAATAGCATAAATCAAATTAAATTCAAATAAAGGTAAGAAGTAGTCCCATAAAAATAAATCAGGATAATAAAGATGACTTCGTTGTCCGGGTAGAGGTGGTAATGAAATGCGCACTCACCGGACGCACATATTAAATTCGCCTTGTGTGTAATAATCCTGATCTCAGGTGATCGGAGGTCTTCCTTCTGTTGGAACCCAGATGAGCTGTCCTTCTCACTCAGATATGCCTGTGTGGTCCTGGTGGGTGCTGTCACTCCCAATGGCCTGGGTGGTAGGTGGTGATCCGTCCTAGCAATGGACCTGCAGGCTAGAGTACTCCCCCAGGGGACAACAAGGTGGTTACCAGCTGGTCAGTCCTCTTACAGACAACTGTCTGCAACGTTTTTGCACTTTTTATGTGATGCACCTTTTATTTTAATAAAAGTTTAACCTACTACACTGTGGGAGTGTCCTTGTTGTCCCCTGGGGGAGTACTCTAGCCTGCAGGCATATCTGAGTGAGGACAGCTCATCTGGGTTCCAACAGAAGGAAGACCTCCGATCACCTGAGATCAGGATTATTACACACAAGGCGCATTTAATATGCGCGTCCGGTGAGTGCGCATTTCATTACCACCTCTACCCGGACAACGAAGTCACCTTTATTATCCTGATTTATTTTTATGGGACTACTTCTTACCTTTATTTGAATTTAATTTGATTTATGCTATTGTATTTCATCCATTCATTCTATTAGCTACGAGCGCTGCACTTGTCACATACATAATAAAAAGCACTGACACTGTACTAATGACACTGGGCAGGAAGGGGTTAACATCTGGAATGATCAAAGGGTTAACGGTGTGCCGTTTCACATTATGTGCTGTGCGTTTCACTGTAAGCACACTGTTTTGTATGGCTTTGCTTTGCAGAGCCATACAAAGTAGTGTGGAGGAGCTGAAAGGGGAGAGAACTGTATTGTTTACACACAGTTCTGTCCCCCCCATCAGTAATACTCGGCAAGCACCAGCTGGGACCCGGTGATTGACAGCCAAGCCACGTGTGCGCCCCTTACACAGGATGGCAAAATCACATATATACGTGATTTTGCACATCCGTGACGCCCTGTAGCAGTATTTCTGCTATAAGGTGGATGGGAAGCGGTTAAAGTTTCAAAATTGGGTGTCAAGGTTTTTGATTCTGGTCACGAAGGGGTTGAAAATGCTCTCTCTCCCTTCCTACCACCTTTGTTGACTAACCTGTGTAAGAAAGCTCTGCATATTTACCTATTTTCAGGCCACTCCGGTCACATGACCTGGCTCCCCTGTGTCAGCTTCAGCGAAGATAAGCAGCCTATGGGTGATGTCACTGCTTCCACGTATTGCCAGATGTTGTTAGGTACTGTTTCCTCTCCCCTGCAACCAGCACTGATTAAAGTGATTGTAAAGGCTGAAGGTTTTTTTTTTTGTACCTTCATGCATTCTATGTACAGCTCCCCTATTACTTATCTGAGCATATGATGTGCACAAGAGCAGCAGCTCTAATTATTGGCTCAGACACAGCAGCGGGAGCCATTGGTTGCTGCCGCTGCCAGTCACAGCCAGTAAGGAGGGAGTAGGTCCGAACTGCACTGTGTGTCTTATAGACACACAGAGCCGGCTCGGGAGCGAGCATGCACGAGTGTGCTCAGAGCAAGCCACTTGCTCGGGGGGGACTCAGCAGGGGGAGGGGCCAGGAGCTCCAGCAGGGAACCTGAGGAGGATTGGTGCTGCTCTGTGCAAAACCATTGTACATAGCAGGTAAATATATTTGTTATTAAAATAAATGTGAACCTTAGTATCACTTGAATACAGGGGAGATCACATGACTGGACCAGTGCAACCTGAAAATAGGCAAGTATAGGGATATTCTTAGGGCTGGTGCACATGTATGCCTTTTTTAGTGCTTTCTGCAGAAATGCACCACCATCCATGTAACATGATTGCCTATCGAACACTATTTCAGCCACACCATTTTTGGTAAGGGGCAGGGACTTTTTTTTCTGCAGCAGACTGCAACACGCATATGTGCGAACCAGGCTGTCACGGTCCCCCCCCACCACCCTGCGCCTTCGCTCTCCCCCCCCCCCCCCCGATCCCTGTACCTTCCCCATTCCATGCCCTTATGTAGTCCATCCACACAAGTGGTGTACTGGGTGCCAGGGGAGCTGCCCCCTGCTGTGGACCTCACACCTCTCCTCATCCAAGCAATGAGTCTGCCTCCCCACTGTGCCTGCATGTGGATTCCCCACATGCAGGCCACCTGGGTGTCCCTGCGCACCCCTCCGTCTCAGTGGTGGGCACAGCGGCCCCGATGTTCCCATGCTCTGCACACACTGAAGACAAAGGCTGCACTCCCTGTGTGCGGCCGGAGTGAGGGGGCAGGGCTTGTCACCACAGCAACCCAACGCCAGGGCGGCCATTGCCTGGCAACCTGGGAGCATCCTGCTCTGGAGATAAATACCAGGATCCGGCCACAAACAGACTCCCCCCTGCTCGTCGTTCTCAACCCCCTGCTAGTGTGCTGTGAGAGGTCTTGTGCTGCAGCCAGACCCTACAGCCCCCTCCCCATCCCAGGACCTGTAGAATTAACCCATTGCCTGCCAGAGTCCGCCTCCCTGCTGTGTGCCAACCTGGACTTAACCCATTGCCTGCCATGTAGTTGTTGACTGCAGTGCTTGAAATTTCCTGCTAACACATCTTCTCAGGTTCATCACGGTTTAGGAGTTGGAGTGTGGAAGACCCGTGTATATCCAACCCCTCTCTCCCAGCTGTGTGAGCCGCTGCAGACAGCTTCTCTTGGATAAAGTCTACCTGGGGGGAGGGTGCAGCTGAAATTTTGGAGGGGGGGGGTATATAGAATTTTTTTTCCATTTACACTTATTTTTTTCTCCCTACAAAGGAGAGAGGTACAATGTATATACGGCCCCACAGATTAAGGCCCTCTTCGTGAGGCCACATATATGTATACAGTAGGCAGGAAGGGGTTAACATACCCCAGCATTTTATATGTACACAGCTATATCAGTCACATTAATCCAATCATAAAGGGAATGTGTTAAAAGTGCTACTAAACCCAGGACCCTGCATTCACGATATCTGATCTTCCACAGTACACAGAACATGGAAATTCAATTATTTTAGAAAATATAAACTGCTAAGTACCTTTTCTCATCAGCAGTTAGAAATCACAAGACTGCTCTATCACTCTCCCGCTGAGCACGTTAAAGCTTGTAGCTTCTGCTCTGGGAGGATGCAGGACCCCTGACCTGTCCAGACAGTACTTATTTGCCCTGTGCTGATCATATACATTCTCCCAAGAAAAAACAAACAAAACTCTAGCAATACACACCAAACTGAGCATGTGCAGAGCGACTCCACACGATATGTCAGATCAGAAAAGTGAAGGTCAAACAACGTTTTTACAAAATGCTGAGGATTAGCCCCTTAGGACCCACAATGAATATAACAAGCATGCTTTACTGCATATACAGACTGATTTTTACTGTTGTGAGATTAGTAACACTTTAACCACTTCCCACCCGCTCTATAGCAGTTATACTGCTACAAGGCGGCATGGTTGTGCAAAATCACGTATATATACATACGTGATTTTGCATTTCCGGATAGGGGGCATGCGCAAGCCCTAACCGCGCCACCATTCACGGCCTCGGCTGTCAATCACCGGGTCCTGGCCGGTGATTACTCACTGGCGTCCGGTGATTGCCGAGCATCTCTGACTGGGGGTGGGGGGGAAACGGTTTTGTAAACAAAACAGTTCTCTCCTGTGAGCAGTGTTCTTACAGTGAAGCACAATCACAGCCCAGTATGAAAAGCAGTGCACAGTTAACCCTATGATCGTCCCACATGTCAACCCCTTCCTGCCCAGTGCCATTAGTACAGTGTCAGTGCTTTTTATTAGCATTGATCACTGTATTGGTGTCACTGGGGATGTCAGTGACACCAGGTCAGTTCCCCCAGTGTCAGAATGCTTGCCACAGTCCCGCTATAAGTTGCTGATCGCCACCATTACTAGTAAAAAAAATATATAGTAATAAAAAAAAAATACAAGTATATATACTGCCATTTGTAAACCAATTAATATACACGTATTGGGATTTTTTTTTCTTTTTTTCAGCAAAGACATAGCAGAATACATTTTGGCTTAAATTTATGACGAAATTTGATTTTTTATATTTTTTTACTGGACATGTTTAATTGCAAAAAGTCAAAAATGTTTTTTCTTCTCACAATTTTCAGTCTTTTTTTATAGTGCAAAAAATTAAACCGCACAGGCAATCAAATACCATGGAAAAAAAGCTCTATTTGTGTCTACTATATGTCAGTTAAAGTAACGCAGCGCCGTAACGCAAAAAAAAAATGGCCTGGTCAGGAAAGGGGGTAAATCCTCTGGAGGGCAAGTGGTTAAGGCAGTGTTGACTGTCTGAGAACATGGGAGGTGTTATGCAGGCCATAGATGGGTCGAAAATCGGCCGATTTTCGGTTCGTTAGTGGGCTATTTGTTCGGCCGTTTTTCGGTATTTTGGCCGATTTTTTTTATTGGTAAAGTTGGAAAAAAAAATCGGCCGATTTTCGCGGCAATGATGGGCAAATCGGCCGATTTTTTACCGATAAAAAATCTGCGCATGAGCAGTGACGTGCAAGAGGAAGACAAAAAGAAGAAGAGGATGAAGAAGAAGAGGGTGACGATGAAGAAGAAGAGGATGACGATGAAGAAGAAGAGGATGACGATGAAGAAGAAGAGGATGACGATGAAGAAGAAGAGGATGACGATGAAGAAGAAGAAGAAGAAGAGGATGACGATGAAGAAGAGGATGACAATGAAGAAGAAGAAGAAGAAGAAGAGGATGACAATGAAGAAGAAGAAGAAGACGAAGACAATGAAGAAGAAGAAGAAGAAGAAGAAGAAGAAGAAGATGACAATGAAGAAGAAGAAGAAGAAGAAGAAGGATGATGATGAAAAAGAAGAAGGATGAAAAATAAGAGGAATTCCAGTACGGCAAAAAGTGTCCCTGCAGAGAGCTCCGCTATTTCTTCTGACAGTTCCTTGACATTTATAGCGGTTGCAACATTGTATCTATTTGTTTCCGAATAAAAACATCTGTATCCTAAATGGATACAAATAGATACATTGTTGCAACCGCTATAAATGTCAAAGAACTGTCAGAAGAAATAGCGGAGCTCTCTGCAGGGACACTTTTTGCCGGCTGTAGACGGGATGAAAAATCGGCCGATTTTTTTTACCATTGCTGGTAACGTCGGCCGCTTGAACGACCGATTTTTCGTTTTTTAAAAGTAAAATCGGCCGTTTTTCTCCCCGTCTATGGCCTGCATTAATGTCTATAGAAACACCCTAATCTAACATCACATGGTGCAAGGCAGCCAGCAACTGTTCTGTGCATTTGCCTGCTTTGTGCTGCTCACTGTAGAGGTAGTCTTAATAAATACCCTCTTCTCTCCCCTGGTATTTTAGCTAAATGGCATCTAAAGAAAATCAAATTAGTAGTATGTAAACTTAAGGTCTCAGGCACACAGGACATTTTGCAAACTCTCCTAGGAGCAGCATTTTGGCAGAAAATACGTCTGACGCTTGCAAAAACTGTGTAACGCACTATTAGTGGGTTTTTTTCTGCCTCCTAAAGCCCCTGGCACTAAATTTTGGGAAATATATATATATATATATAAAAATTTTAGAGGCAGTTGCAAAAACATCCAGTGTGCATGAGGCCCAACACAACACAAAAGGCAGTTTACAGTAGATAAAACAAAGTACACAATGTAAAATACAATACATATTTTCAGATTTTAATATTTGTACATTAAAAAATGCTATTCATTAATTTTTCTGAACAAGTGAAATACTGTTAGACTATAGTCCAGAAGGCAATAATTTACAAGCACAGTGATAATTGCCTAATATTTACAATATGATTTGCATGAACAACTCCATTACTGTAACATTCATAAATAGCTAGTATCGGATTTATGAAAGAGCACAAAAACGAGCATTATTTAAAGTACAGGTATACCTTTAACAATACTAACTCACCCACCCTGGCCCTTCTAAAAGTATTTTGGATTAAACCCGGTCACCCCAGAGGTCTACATTCCACAGTAGCACAGCCTTTTCTAGCAAATATCCCTTCAGCACTGGCTGCACCTGCTCAATGAGCCCTCAAAGAATTGTATAGGACCATACAGCCTCTTTGGTAGAAATACTCTTCACTGGTTGAGACTGTGGTACTGAGGTAAGTAAGCAACCGGGGTCAGGGGGCCGAGTGAGAAGTAGTGGAGGAGGGTGGGTTAGCATTAGTTTTGTCCTATAATGTAGCAAAGAGCAAACATTTGGCAGCTAGTCATCCTATATGAACATATATAGTTTTTTGTTGATGAAAAGTAGCAATTGATAGTTTTCTATGGGTTACATAATACATACAATCACTACTGTCTCTATTGCAAACCTGCACACGCAAAAATATGTAGGCTGCCATTGACCTTATTCTGAACATGCTTTCTGGCTTTATTATTGTGAGTTATAGCCCCAAAAAACAAGGGGAAAATAAGCCAAGTGAGGGTACCAATCAATCCTCATTTCAGTCCACTGAAAAATACTGAATCCAATGGATCAGCATGACAGATAGGTGTATAATATTTTAGTACAGTGGTGAGGTTAGCACTAGAGGCCTACATAATATGCTCCTGTTGAAAGTACAGGTTACCTAGAAATAAGCAGTGGCTTTAAGAAATTCCCATCAAATGTTTCTAGTACTAACTTCATTCATTGTTAATATAACAATGGCTGCAGTGGACAATACATTAAATATAGAGCAGGTAGTCTGCAAAAACTCTCTCAGTTAGCAATGATCAGTGTTTTGTTAACTAGCACAAAATATTTAAAATCTGTACATGCTGCATATTTACAGATGTTATGGCAGCCCACGCTTAAGCTTTCATTGAGAATACCACTTACAGAAAAAGTGACAGTAGGATAATCTGCTGTACATGAAGCACTCCGTCATACATCACTAGGTTAGAGACAGAAGCTCCACCACCGGTAAATAGCTTACAATGTCAGAGGATCCACCATGTTAAGCACTAAACAAGCCACCAGCAGCTGTAAATGATATAGTAGAGCAGAAACAAGCACAGCTTGGAGTCCGCAGGTACCCTCTTCTCAAGGGTATCAGATATAAGGATTGGAACTTGCATGGTTACAGCATAAATACATCAGGCAGCGAGAGATCAAAGTACAAACCATGTAGAAGAGGAGCCTAGAAGTCCTTCTTTAATAAAGAAGCTGCTAGATAAACAGCTCAGTTTTACAGGTGCGTTAATAAGATCACAAAATATTAACCTTCACAGAACAAGGCCTGTTTTATTGGTTTACAAATGTTGAACTGAAGCACATTTACAAAATGCACATGAAATTAGCTTTTAAAAACCATCCAGAGTCAGAATTATCTTTACAGATAATATTCTTGCAATAAGTTAAATTGTACAGTTGAGGACCAAAATCAGATCATCAATCCACTGGTATCCATTGGCTGGAGCCGAGCCAAGAAATAAATGAATATGCTAGTAGTAGTATATGCAGGCCACAATATGCTTCCAGGATAGTCCAGAATGTGGAGCATACTTGGCAACTTTCAAAAAAAACAAAAAACAAAAAAAAAAACCCATTATGTACAAGGCAATAAAAGTGCTTGGGTAGTGTGCCGTTTGTTTATTTCGTAGGTTTGGCCTCTTGTGGATTTTCTCCAGTATCCAAAGTCTTCAAAAGTCGGAAAAGGCCAGCTGCTTCTCGTATTCTGCTAAATTCTATACAGAAAGCCTGCACCTCTATAAACAAGTCCTGGACATTGATAATTTTGTTTCTAATCAGAGACTGTAGAAAGACACAAACTAGTCTGACCAAGCGATTCTGCAAAAGACAAGAACACAGCTAAATAAACCATATAAAAAACAAACTTTAAATAAGATAAAAATATGCAATATTAAATTTATACGGATATAATTCCTTCATGTAAGGAGCACTTGAGAAACAGAAAAGCAGCAGCAGCAGCAGCTATTCGCGGCCTCGGCTGTCAATCACCAGGTCCCGGCCAGTGATTACTCGCCGACACCCGGAGATCACCAAGTATTACCAATGGGGGAGAGAACTGTATATAAACAAACAATACAGTTCTCTCCCGTCAGCTCCTGCACATGGCTTCGTATGGCTCTGCATAGCAGAGCCATACCAAGCAGTGTACTTACAGTGAAAAGCACAGACACAGCCTCATAGTAAAACACACACAGCACACAGTTAACCCTTTGATTGCCCCAGATGTTAACCCCTTCCTGCCCAGTGCCATTAGTACAGTGTCGGTGCTTTTTATTAGCACTGATCACTGTATTGGTGTCAATGGGGATGTCAGTGACATAAGTCAGTTCCCCACAGTGTCAGAATACCTGCCGCAGTCCCGCTATAAGTCGCTGATTGCCGCCATTACTAGTTAAAAAAATTTCCAGTATATATATCGCCATTTGTAAATGCTATAGCTTTCACGTAAAGCAATTAAATGATGTGAGTGGGAGCCCCGCCTCTGGACCTCAGAGAGGATGCTGAGCATGGCTGGCCAGGTATGTCCTCCCTCCCCCTGCATAGACTGCCTGTAGACTGTCATACCAAACCCTGAGCTGTTTTTCACAAACTGTACATTGCTGAAAGAACTCTGTTCATCTCCAGTACTATGTCTGCAGTCTCTAATCATCTCCTGTACTATATCTGTAAGTCTTGGTTAAGAATATTTTTTTTCCTTGTTTTCCTCCTCTAAAACCTAGGTGGGTCTTATGGTCAGGTGTGTCTTATGGAGCGCAAAATACGGTACTTTGTTTTAACAAAACGAGGTTTGTTTGGCATTGGCCTGAGCAATATAAGCTAAAATATGCCTGAAAAAATAAACACTATAAAATAAGAAAAAAAATTTGATTCAAGCAATCCCTCTGAAGGGTATGGGACCAAAACACACCCAAGTCTGCCTAAAAAAAAATCAGCTTAACCACTTGCCCTCCAAATGATTTACCCCCCTTCCTGACCAGGCCATTTATGCGATACGGTGCTGCGTTACTTTAACTGACACCCAAATTAAATTTATGTCCTTTTTTTCCCCCACAAATGGAGCTTTGGTGGTATTTGATTGCCTATAAACCAAAAAAGACAATTTTGAAAAAAAAAAAAAAAAAAACCCAATATGTTTGACTTTTTGCTATAAAACATATCCATAAAAAAAAAAAAAAAAATCAAATCTTATAGCGGGACTGCGGCAGGCATTCTGAAATGGGGGTGAACTTACTAACGGCCATTGACATCTCCAGTGACACTAATACAGTGCTAATAAAAAGCACGGACACTGTACTAATGGCACTGGGCAGGAAAGGGTTAACATCTGGGACAATCAAAGGGTTAACTGTGTGGTGTGTGTGTTTTACTACAGAAACATGGTGCTTTGTATTGCTCTGCTATGCTGACAGGGGAGGGATCTTTGTTGTTTACACACAGATATCTCCCCTTTCACTATTCCTTGGCGATCGCTGGGTGCCAGCGGGGGAATCTCCAGCTAGGACCTGGTGATCGACAGCTGTAGCCGCCAATTGGAGCACGCGTGTGCGCCCCCTACCTGGTAATGAAAATCACACACTATATATACATACATACACACACATACATACATACACATATGTGTGCGAGTGTGTGTGTGTGTGTATATATATATATATATATATATATATATATATATATATATACACATACACATACACATACATACATACACACACACACATATACACACACACACACACATATATACACACACGTGATTTTGCGCAGCCCTGCCAGCCAGTAGCAGTAGGTCTGGAAGCGGTTAAGTAAGTTTTACAGCACTACATGTCAAGCTACAGGAGCCTTAGCACTTATATGTGAACGCACCCAGTCATTTAAAAGAGAAGTATGGAGTTTACTCATTTTAAGCCTTGATCTATTCAGACACTTCTCTCCTACATGTAAAAATCTGTAATTTTGTTTTGCTAAAAAAAATTACTTAGAACCCCCAAACACTATTTTTTTAAGCAGAGGCCCTAGAGAATAAAGATGGTAGGTGTTGCAATTTTTTTTTCGTCACACAGTTTTTGCACATCAATCGCGGCGGGGAAAAAAAAAAAAAAAAAAATATATAAAATATACAGTTTAATCAATTGTAATGCTCAAGTACACAATATAATACCCTATTGTTTGGTAAAATATAAAATATGTAAAAGCGCAAAGAGATAACCTACAGGTCACGCTTTAAAATTGTGCATGCTTCCAGAATGGCAACAAACCACAGTACTTAAAAATGTCCATAGGCAACGCTTTAAAAGCCTTTACAGGTTACCAGTTTAGAGTTATACAGGAGGTCTGGTGCTAGAATTATTGCTCTCACCATAACGTTTGCGGTGATCCCTCAAATGTGTGGTGCCATCACTGTTCACCTATGCGCGTGCACGACCTACGTATGTGTTGACCTTTTTACTGTACATTTACATTTTTATCACCATCACAACAGATGTACAACATCCCTTGGGGTAGCTTGGGCAGGGACAGGTACTCTTTACTGAGATATCTGGGGTCTATTAGATCCCAGATCTCTCTGCCCTTAAAAATCCGGTCCACCATTCAGCTCTATGGTAAGCCAGTGGAACCGCCTTACCCCTGATGCCTCGAAAGACTCAAAACTGAGCAATCAATCACAGCTGATCGCTCAGTTTCCTCCTCTGTTTTGAGCAGAGTGGCGACTATCAGTCTCCGGCTTTCTGCTCTGCCCCATAAGCACTTACTGGAGCACTACGCTATGGAGGGGGCAGAAGCGGTTGGCTCAGGCTCTCAGCATTCCACCAAAAGGGTGAGCCAGCTGCCTGTCCAGGCATCAGGTTCTTCCTCATCTGCTCCCTCACCCACTGCGACAATCGTCCCTCTCTGTACCGGCGGATGCCCCGACCCCACGAAAGCAGGCGCCACATCACCCCTTGACTCAAAAAAGCCCTCCGGGACCCCAGCGGACCCAAAACAAACCTCAGTACCAACCTGGATCCCAACCATATGGTTAGTATCCTTTCAGAGCCTGGACTGGCTCGGTGTGATGTCAGCTGACAGTGGGATAAAGCCGCTGTCAGCTTAACGTGAGTCACAAGAGTGCAGAACGAACTGCATCCTGTGATCCCCAGAAGTATAGTCAAAATAGCTTCGGCTATACCAGTGTTTCACAACCTTTTTTAAGTCAAGGCACCCTTTAAAATCATGGATAGTCCCGAGGCACCCTTTAAAATTACAGACAGACAGTTTTGAGGCACCCCATTCTAAAATGTGAAAAACTCTTCTAATAGTTTTATATAACACAGCAACATCCACACATGTGGGACATCCAACATTAGAGAGGATTTATTCTTCCAAAGCAAATACACTCTTGCACACTGGTACTGAATAGTATTCCAGCATTTTTCTTCTACCTCAGTTTTTTCCCCATCACTCAGCTAATGTGCCAAGGCACCCCTTAGGAAACCTCAAAGCACCCTGGTTGAGAAAGGCTGGGCTATACTTCTATAACCTCCCTAAAGGTAAGCTTGAGTGTGGCTCAGGGTTACACTGTAGTGTGTGTGTATAGTTTAACTTACCTTGTCCCTGCAATCCCAAGATGTCCTCTGGCCGATGCCGGCATCAGTCTTCCGGGTTCCCTTCCCTGCGAGTGCCGCAGGGGGGCAGAACCAGCAGGACATTCAAAAGTAAAAAACATGACACTGACACACACACACTACATTGTAATCTGTTAGGATTACATTACTGTATCAAACAATTTCACCTCAGTTTTGTCCCTAGTGCTTTGTCCAGTGCCCTGCCTGCACTTTTACTGTTCTGCCTGGAAACTTCAGAACGTCCATGGCATCCAAAAAGCGTCCGTTTAGATCAAAAGCGGTTTTAGACCAGCTAGAAAACAGCAATAGTGAATTAAAATCACTTGCAGAATTGAGTGATAAGGATTCATAGGGAAATTCATCATCACAGTGAAGTTTCCATGCAAAACAGTGTTACCGCTTTGACATTCAAAAATATTGACATAATCAGACCGCCAAGGAGGTTAAATTACATTGAATTTAGTTTGCCAACGAGTTTTGTTGCTTTGAGCTTTCAACTACAAAAAGCTCAGTGTGATGGAGGCCTTAGGCCCTTTCACACTGGTGCAATTGTGCTGCCCTTTTCCAGGGCTACAATGTGCATGAAAACTATTCCCCATTAAATCCTTTGTAACTGTTCACACTGCAGGTGTGTGAAAAGTTCTGCATGCTGTATCTTTGGTGCAGTTTTTTTTTTTTTTTTTAAAGTGCACCAAAAAAGGCACCTTCCATTGTAAGTCAATGAGAATGAATCAAAAGTGCATCAGTGTGAAAGGGTTGTAACATTCACAGAAAACACCTACCTGCATATATTTGTCCTTAATTTGCTCACAGGTGGATATGCAGTTTGATATATAAAGGTGAATAAATTCAGGAGGAAGATCAACTGCAGTTGTTAGCCTGCAGAATAAAACAAGAGGGGATTAAAATAGAAGCATTATGAAAATCAACTTCATCTCAAAACTTCTGTATTTTAAAACAGAACAAAACAGTGATGAGGGGAACAGATGGCCATTTGTGAAAAGGAAAACGTGCCCTAAGGAAATGCTTTAGTCACTGGCTTTGAACAAGTATTCTCACTACACTGACTCTCCTGATGTCTACCTGTTACAAGTTAGTTCATATTTCTCTCAGTACAAGTTGAAAAGTAAAAGTTTTTTTTTTTTTTTTAAATACAATATTCAGATACAAGAAAAAAAAAAAAAAAAAAAAAAAAAAAAAAAAAAAAAAAAAAAAAGGCATTCCAGGCAAACCCCAACTAAGCTTAAATCTTCTCCCACCCCCATTCTAAGACTATCCTATCTACCCTCGTAAATGGAAAGATGCCTACATTTACCTATCCTGAAGCCACTTCGGTCCAGTGGCATGACTGGCTTCAGTATAGAGGGACAGTCGACAAAGGCTGCCCCATAGTAAACCTACAGATTGATGTGATCACCCAGACTCTGCAGCTGTTGGTGCTGCCTCTCTTCTACACTGACGCCAGTCATGTGACCGGACCAATTTCAGAATAGGTAAGTATAAGCATTTTTTCCTTTAATAGGGTAGATAGAATAGGGGTGGGAGTAGATTTAGCCTTAGTTAGTGTATATCTGGAATTCCACTTTAAATATGTATCTAACCTACAAGCTGACCTTTTTCAGGTGTTAAGGCTGCAGGAATGTATTCCGTTAAAAGCCATTTAAGCCGAGTTGGTAGACAGAGTTATGGAGAAGCACAAGGATCCTATTCAGAGTTCCTTCTCTGTATGCTTGTGGATATATTCCTAGAGTCTTGACAGCAACTTAAGATTCTGCGTCTGTCCAACCCACTGAACCCAGGAAATTACTAGAAGGTAGCTATTTGGAAAGCTCAGACTCGGTCCTCTCCACTAAAGCAATGCCTACCCTCATGATTTCTCAGGTCAATTTCCAGATGCCTCTCTAATCAGATGATTTATAGGGAAACGGTATGCAAATATTAAAGCAACAGCCTGAGGAATTTAACTGATAAAGTTCATTTGTCAGTCACAATAAAACTAAAACTAATAAAAAAAAGAAAAATGCTTGACATAACTCACCGATTAACAACTTCCATTGAGTGTAACGACATGTCCATGTTGACCAGTACTGAGAAATACTCTGTAATCTGGCTTGACTGCATCAGCTTTAGCAACATTTCAATTGCAACCAAGGGATTGTTTTCTACCAGGTCTGGAAGCTTGGCAGGAGTGAGGCCAATGTGATAAACCAGCTTAGGGTCTTTTTCTAACTCTCCAAGGAGCTGGGAGAAAGAAAAAATAAATTGTTTTTAATAAGCACATATGTTTGGCCTACAAATATTTGTAAACTGATCTGGCAATTATATTTGTGTTATATATATAATAAAACAGCATTAAACAATCCATGTCTGGATGAGATCTAGAAGATATGGTCTGTCTAAAATCAACTATTTTTAGAACTCTAATAATAAATCTATCACCACTTTCTGCCCCATTAGGGAACAGATGTTGGATTTATCAATGATTACACATTAAAGACTTGAGCTGTCATTCCAAAGCCATTGTTTCTAATTTTTAGGGACTCTGTAATGACTGGCATAGTACCACTGGATTGGCATAAGGCCAATGTGGTGCCTATATTTAAAAAGGGATCAAAATCTTTACTAAGTAATTATAGACCTGTTATTTTAACTTGTATAGTTGGGAAGATACTGGAGAGTTTAATAAAAGACCACATAGATGAGTTATTAATGAATATTTTAAGCAACAGACAGCATGGAATCATGAAAACACAGAAGTTCTCAAAACAAATTGATTTCTTTTTAGGAGGAGGTGAGGAAGACCTTGGACAGAGGGGTGGCGGTGGACGTGGTATACTTGGATTTTGCAAAAGCATTGGACACGGTTCCCCACACACAGCTAATGTGTAAGGTAAAGTCTGCAGGCTTGGAAAAATCTGTATGTAAATGGATAGAAAACTGGCTAAAAGATCAGTGTTGGGACCCTTACGTTTTAATATATTTAGAAACAATATAGGGTCTGGGATTAAAAATCCCATTTCAGTCTTTGCAGATGACACCAAGCTGTGCAGTGGAATAACGTCCTTACAGGATGTCTCCAATTTACAAGCCGACCTCAATGCACTGTTTAATTGGGCAACTATGGGCAAATGAGGTTTAATGTAGATAAATGTAATGTTATGCACTTGGGGGCTCAGAATATGCATGCATCATACATACTGGGGGGGGGTACAACTGGGGGAATCAATGGTGGAGAAGGATCTGGGAGTTCTGGTAGATCACAAGCTTAATAATGGCATGCAATGCCAAGCTGCGGTTTCTAAAGCGAGCAAAATCCTCTCTTGTATTAAAAGAGGTATAGACTCCAGAGAGAGATATCATATTACCCCGGTACAAATCATTATGAGACCTCATCTGGAATATGCAGTTCAATTTTAGGAACCAATTCACAAAAAGAGCATTGGGGAACTGGAGAGAGTGTAGAGAAGGGCAACCAAACTGATAAGAGGCATGGAGGAGATCAGCTATGAGGAAAGATTAGAGGAACTGAATTTATTCTCTCTTGAGAAGAGGAGATTAAGGAGGGATATGATCTCAACATGTACAATACATCAGTGGTTCATATAGTGAACTCGGTGTAGAGTTATTCACCCTGAGGTCATCACAGAGGACAAGGGAGCACTCTTTAACGTCTGGCGGAAAAAAAAATGTAATCTCCAAACACAGAAAGGTTTCTGCACAGTAAGAGCTGTGAAAATGTGGAATAGACTCCCTCAAGAGTTGGTTCTGGCCAGCTCAGTAGACTGCTTTAAAAATAGGCCTGGGAATCTTTCTTAGATACACAGAATATAACTGGATACTAACATTTATATGTAAAGTTGATCCAGGGAATATCAGATTGCCTCTTGGGGAATCAGGAAGAAAGATTTTCTCCTGTAGGAGAAAATTGGATCATGCTTTCTGGTTTTGTTTGCCTTTCTCTGGATCAAATGCGGTGTATAATAATCTTTAGAATTCAGCCCAATAATTCCAGCCCTTTATTACCTGCAACAAGATTAACTTGTTTGGTAGGAATACAGAGATATACCCAGAGTGACTTCTCTGAGTACCCATCTACCCTTGGTAGAACATACAAGAACAATAAAAAAAGCTCTCCCGCCATGTCTCGTAATAGTTTAACCAGCTGCTGGGTATAAACTTGCCCCAGATCTACACAATATCGAAAGCCAGATGCTAGCTATGCGAAGCAAAGTAGAAAGAGCCTAGGAAAAATCCATTACACAGACAACGAACTCCTATCCATAAATAATGTAGTATATGGAGGAGTGGACGCTGCTCAAAACTAATCCCTGGAGTCATACAATGGCAGAGTATTGTAGCTGGACTCAGCCACTGCTCCAGCCATGCCTTTTGATGAGTTTCGCGCCTTGACCAAGCCCCGATGGGTGGGGCAAAACAGAGTGTGTGGCTGGAGCAGTGGCTGAGGCCATCTACAACACGCTACCATTGTCTGACTTCGGAGATTGGTTTTGAGCGGCATCTGCTACTCCATATACTGCATCAGTTTGTGGAATAACGTGGGACGCTGCTCCCTTCTCCTTTCTCTGCCTGCAGGGTGACCTTCACCTGTATTCAGTCTTGAGTGGCATCACAAGTCTCCCATATGGTTTACATAAATATTATAGGGAGCAAATACCTGTGTCTGCTGAGGAGAGGACAGTGGACTTTTAAATGCCTTGGCCATGATGCGTTTAATTTCTACACCAGTGCTGTTCTTTACACACATTGATTTGTCCCACTTGATGGCATGATCAGGTTCAATGGGATTCAGCCAAGCAAGTTCATCATCACAGATGTGTAGAGGAGGAGGGGGACGTATAAACTCTGGACGGAAGTGGCCTTAAAAAGGAATAATACAGTGAGAACCTTACCAATGTATTAGAAAGACAAAGCCAAAGCCCAAAACAATTACAGATATCCAAAATTTTATGATTTTTCTACTGTTTCCGTAAAAGAACATGCATTTAAAATTCTCATAATAAATTTAAATCACCCAATGACCACACAATGACATCCAAAACACTGTCATTTTACCAGAAAAAAAAAAACAAAACCTGTCATGATATGAGAAAATAAAGTTACATACTTTCAATTGGTGGCTTTGGACCACTGACCAAAGCTTCGGTAATTTGAGAAGCAACAGAACTGTCAAAACCAGAATTGGAGGAGTCTGGATCAGGGTCACTTAGGATGCTTGGGAAACTGGCCTTACTCTGGGTTGGAAGTTCAGACTGCCGTTCTAAAAAACAAAAACACGTAATCAGTCAAAGTATGTTGAAGGATCTGTTTACTTTTGAGGAACTTGATATTTATCCCTTGCCAATAGTTACCTCTTTTTAGCTTTTGTGTTATGCTTTTTGATTTCTCTAATAAACAGTAAAAAAAATAATGAAATAAAAGTTCTCAGTATGAGTGTAACCTCTACCAATCACAACACTGAGGTGCATAACTGTGAGCTCCTAGAAATAATCTGCAATCGATACAAGTACATTAAAGTGGAATTTTAGTCAGAAAAAGTCTTGCTAGATCACTTCAGGCTAGCCCCTTTTGCAGGTATAGCTTTGTATAACATTAAAACGAGTGCCTATACTGTTTACAATACAGTAGTACACTGTCTCACCCTGCTCTGCACAGTTGATCTCCATTTTTTGGCACTGTGCTGAAATTGCAGAGGCTGATCTGCTGAGAGTCTAAAGATTTATTGCTTATCAGGGGCTCTGGGCTTCAGCAAAATGGCAGCCTCCAGCAAGAAGAAACAGGAACAATGCTGGAGGCAATTTACAGCACATACTAGTGTTGATAACATAATTATTGATGCAAGTCCCGTTTTAAGGAAAAGAATCTGGGACAGCCACACTCCTCATATGCTTTACTGACAGTACTCAAGTACATACATCACATACACAATATTGCCAAAAGTATTGGTACACCCTTCCATATCATTGGATTCAGGTGTTCCAATCACCTCCATGGCTACAAGTGTATAAAATCAAGCACCTAGACATGCTGACTGCTTCTACAAACATTTGTGAAAGAATGGGTCACTCTCAGGAGCTCAATGAATTCAAGCATGGTACCGCAATAGTTTGCCACCTGTGCAATAAGTCCATCTGTGAAATTTCCTTGCTACTAAATATTTCATGGTCAACCGTTAGTGGGATTATAATAAATCAGAAGCAACTTTTAACAACCGCAACTCAACCATGAAGTGGCAGGCCACACAAAATGACAGAGCAGGTCAGCGCATGCTAAAGCGCACAGAAGTCGCCAACTGTCTGCTGTCACTAGTTAAAGACCTCGAAACTTCATGTGGCCTTCAGATTAGCACAACAACAGTGCTTAGAGAGCTTCATGGAATGGGTTTCCATGGCCGAGCAGCTGCACCCAAGCCTTATATCACCAAGTGCAATGCAAAGCGCCGGATTTAGTGGTGTAAAGCACACCGCCACTGGACCCTGTCTGGCAATCCGATGAACCTGTCCAGGTTTGGCAGTTTCCAGGAGAACGGTTTTTGCCTGACTGCATTGTGCCAAGTGTAAAGTTTGATGGAGGGGGATTATAGTGTGGGGTTGTTTTTCAGGGGTTGGGCTTGGCCCCTTAGTTCCAGTGAAGGGAACTCTTAAGGCATCAACATACCAAGATATTTTGGACAATTTCATATTCCCAACTTTGTGGGAACAGTTTGGGGATGGCCCCTTTCTGTTCCAACAAGACTGCACACCAGTACACAAAGCAAGGTCCATAAAGACATGGATGAGAGAGTCTGGGGTGGAAGAACTTGACTGGCGTGCACAGAGTCCTGACCTCAACCCATAGAACACCTTTGGGATGAATTAGAGTGGAGACTGCAAACCAGGCCTTCTCATCTGACATCAGCGCCCGACCTCACAAATGTGCTTCTGGAAGAATGGTCAAACATTCCCATAGACACACTCCTAAACCTTGTGGACAGCCTTCCCAGAAGAGTTGAAGCTGTTATAGCTGTAAAGGGTGGGCCAACTCAATATTGAACCCTACGGACTAAGACTGGGATGCCATTAAAGTTCATGTGCGTGTAAAGGCAGGCGTCCCAATACTTTTGGCAATATAGTGTCAGCAGGGTGAAACATGCAAAACACACAAAGTGCTGTCTTTTGAAACTGATGGTTCATAAGTGTAAAATGCTAAGAGTGGCACATGCCTCTTACCTGCTAGCGCTAACTGAAGTCCACTTATGTCTACCGGCTGTGCCAAATTTGTTACATCCATGACAGCTATCTGTCTAGGTGTCTTTTTAAATAACTCTCTAGGTGGTGCCAACATCAACTGAGAAAGGAAGAATTTTTCAGGTGGTGTAATTGGTGGCAGAAAACCTGCAGAGAGAACACATTTTCATCATTAAACCATGTTCAACAAAAATGGAGTAAGCAGTTTTATAAATAATAAAAGTCTGAAATATCAGCAACAATCTGGATATTAACCACTTGCCTACCAGGCACTTTTACCCCCTTCCTGCCCAGGTTAATTTTCAGCTTTGAGTGCTGTCACACTTTGATTTAAATCAAATCCACCCTGATGACTATGCAATTATCATTCAAACTGATTTAAATCACTAGTCAGTAAGGCTGGATTTAAATCCTAGTTTTCTATATAAAGACTAATTCTTGCTGGTATAACTAATATGCAAGTAGATGAAGATTTGTAGAATAACAACTTTTCATTTTAGTTTTTTTTATCACCAGTTTAATAGGTTAATCATTCATATTTGGACAACTTTTCTGTTGTACTTAGGAAGGAGAAAAATAATCATTACCTTAATAACAATTTAAATAGATTTATTCAACTGAAACAATAACATTCCAGCATATGTTATTTGCTTAAACATCCATGTTTGTTAACTAATTTGGCTAAACAAAATATATATATTTTAAGAAACTTAGACTGTCAGCCCCTTCCTCCTCACACTTAGTTTCACTTTCTTCTTGTGCAGATCTATTCCACTCCAAACAATCAGAAAAATATTGTTTCTATTCTATTCACTGAACTTCTTGAAACTTAGCACTGAAGGGGTTGATTCTGTATTCATAGGTTTGTAGAAGTTAGGATTAAGGTCTTTTTCTTAACTCTGTTCATGTTATAACATTTTTGCTGTGAAGAAGAGGCATGTGATCTCCGCTGAGTCCAATTCAGTTTTGAGAACTGCAAAGTAAACCGAGCATCTGTGATAATATCTTGTAGGCAGAGAAACTGCCCAATAATCTTACAAAAACCTCTGGAAGAGCATGACATTGTGAATGGATTCATGGAATTTATTTACCAAAAAAATTAAACATATACAGCCTTATTCTACATAATTAAAAAACGAATCTTTATTTTATGATGGAATAACCTTTGGATGGTAATGTATTTTCCTCAAAAAGCATTTTATTCAAAAAAATCCGATTTAAATAAAAAAAAATCCGATTTAAATCAAAAAAAAAATCCGATTTTTTAAATTTTTTTTTAAAAAAATCATTGATTTTTATCCACCCTGGTAGTCATGCAACGCTGTACCCATATGAAATTTTTATCATTTTTTTCACACAAATTTAGCTCTCTTTTGCTGGTATTTAATCACCAGTGGGCGTTTTATTTTTTGTACTTTGATGGAAACAAAGACATTTTCTGTCTTTCTTCACTTAAAGTTTTGCAAACAGGTAATTTTTCTCTTTCAATAATGTGCGTTGATGAGGCTGCACTGATAGGTGGCAATAATGGGAAAAGGCAACACCGACAAGCACCGACTATCTCCTTTGACAGTTGCCAGTTACCTCATGCTGTGACATCGTGGGGAAAGTACTGCCAATAACTGGAAAGTGTATTTACACGGCAATCAGCTGTGATTGGATACAGCTGATCACGTTGTAAAAGGCTGCTGGGATTGGTCTTTTACCGTGTCATGTGATAAACTGTGTCCAAAGGACAAAGCGATCACAGAGAGCGCTGGGTGCAAGTCACGGGGGGGGGTGCACATTCTGGGAGGACGTCATACGAAACCCTCCCAGAACTGGACATCTGTGCTGTAACAGTCATTCGGCTACAGAGCGGTCAAGAAGTGTTTAATAACAAAAACATCTGCATTATACCATTATCAAATCACTAAATAATACCACAGATGGACAATATTACACTGATTCCATCATTTAAACTAAACGCTGGTCTCCACTTTCCTGCAGAAAATTGAAAACCGCTATAGCCTGAAATAAACAAGCTTCCCATGCTGGGATCTCCTCAAAAGTTCCAGTGAATGTAGCCCCAAAGCACAGGTTCTTTTTCTACTTTACACTTAACCCCTCACCTACAGGGCACTTATACCCCCTTCCTGTCCACGGAAAGAGCCGAAGATGTCGGCTCGGTCATGAGATCAACTGTGTTCAATCACAGCTGATCACATGTAAACAGGGAGATGCCGGTTATCAGCATTTCTCTCCTCACGAGCTGTCACACTGACAGCTCGTGAGCAGAGGGGAGCCGGTAATCGTCATTCCTCGGAGGGGACATGTACACAGATCATCAGGGCACTGATGATCAGTGTGCCCTGATGATCTGTATAGCCCCAGCTGTGCCACCTGCCAGTGTCCATCAGTGCCACATTTCAGTGCCCATCTGAGCTGCCTTTCAGTGCCACCCAACAGTGCTGCCAGTCAGTGCCACCCAACAGTGCTGCCAGTCAGTGCCACCCAACAGTGCTGCCAGTCAGTGCCACCTCATTAGCGCACATCAGTGAAGGAGAAAAATCACTTATTTCCAAAATTGTATAACAAAAACTAAGAAAAAAAATTTTTTTCCTCAAAATTTCAGTGGTTATTGGTTTTGTTTAAAAAAAAATAAAAAACCCAGAGGTGATTAAATACCACCAAAATAAAGCTGTCACAAAAAAAAATGCTAAAAATTTTATATGGGTACAGTGTTGCATGACCACGCAATTGACATTCAAAGTGTGACAGCACTGAAAGCTGGAAATTGGCCTAGGCAGGAAGGGGTATAAATGCCCTGTAGGCTAGTGGTTAAAATGGTCAGCTTTAAAGAAACGTTCACACCATGGTGCAGAGACATGAGCTTTTTTTGCACATATTCTGCAAAGGCACAAAGAAAACAACTGTTCTTTATGTGCCCTATTCACACCACAACACTAGCATCATGTGCAGATTTTTTTCTGCGCAGGAATGTGCAAAATGCTTAAAAAACTCATTGAAACGTGCATGAAAACTGATGTAAACTCATGTTTCTGCAAGTGAAATCTGCATGGTTTTTATGCACAAATAACGCCTTATTCATTTATATAAAAACCTTTGCCCCAAAAGGGAAAGAAACTTGCTGAAACTGCTTAAAAAGTGTTAGCTGGAGTTCAGCTTTAAAGAGGAGTTCCACCCAAAAAAGTGGAACCTCTGCTTGTTTGCTTCCATCCCCCTCCACTGCCATATTTGGCACTTTTTTTTGGGGGGGGAGGGAGCAGATACCCAGTTTGGACAGCTACCCCCTCCCACTTCCGTCTCAGTTCGGTGAAGTGAGCTAGAAGTTCTGCCCCCCCCCCCTTCCTCCGCAGTCTTCTAGAAAACCTCACAGGTCCCAGAAGATTGTCGGACCAATCAGGATGCACAGTGCGACTCACGCATGTGCAGTGGGCACCCGGCTGTGAAGCCCGCAAGCTGTCACAGCCTGGTACCCAGAGTTGAGATGCCAGCACAGGGGAGAGAAGGGACTGCATGGGTGAGCACATCACTGGACCATCGGACAGGCGAGTATGTATTTATTAAAGTGGAGTTCCACTCAAAAGTGGTAGCTTCACTTATTTGCCTCCTCCCCCCCCCCCCCCCCACTGCCATATTTGGCACCTTTTGGGGGGGGGGGGGGGGGGAGGAGAAGTGGGTACCTGGCTTTGACTGGTACCTGCTCCCACTTCCGGCTCAGTTCGCGAAGTGAGCCAGGAAGTTAAGAACCCTCGTGCCTCCCCGCAGTCTCCTGGGAACTTTCAAAGGTGCCAGGAGACTTCCGTACCAATTAGGAAGCACAGCGCGACTCGCACATGCGCAGTGGGCACCAGGCTGTGAAGCTAAAAGCTGTCACAGCCTGGTGCCACAGTTGAGATGCTGGCACCGTGGAGGAAAGAAGGGGAGAAGGGACGGCATAGGTGACAACATCGCTGGACTCTGGGACAGGTAAGCGTGTGCTTATTAAAAGTCAACAGCTACAGTTTTTGTAGCTGCTGACTTTTAATAAACACAAACACAGCTGGAACTCCACTTTAAAATGTGTTAGTTATAGAAGACTATTTAAATCTTCTAGTCTATTTAACACTAACCCTGTCCAGAACATACCAGTCAATCTTGCCACAAACACTGTGGGGATTATTTACTAAAGCTGGAGACTGCAAAATTGGGTGCACTTCTGTATAGAAACAAATTGGCTTCCAGGTTTTTTTGGTTTTTTTTTTTGCTGAGGTTGAAGTTGAGGTTAGAAGTGGATTGGCTACCATGCACAGCTGCACCAGACTGAGTGGACCAGTTTTAGTAAATCTCCCCAGGGTGCTTGTCACTTCCTGTGAACTGATCTAACAAATAATGTTATCAGCATTCCCAGCTATCGTCTTTAAACAACTAACGTAATGGAGATGGAGAGAGGAGGGTGTGTTTGTAGTCCAAATCAGAAGTGCACCCTAGAGTGACAACCCCTTCCATAGATGCAGTGCAGTGTTGCCACCCGACGACAGGAAGTGTTACTGGTAGCATCACCTGGTGTTAAAAAAAAAAAAAAAAAAAAAAAAAAAGAGTAAAGCCCTGTCCAAACTGCATGCAGTAGGAACTCATGATCCTGCTCGTGATTTTGTGTGGGTGATTCTCACGCTTTTCTGCATGTCGCACATAAGGCATCTCATTCACTTGAAGGCCCCGTTCATACTTGGGCGATTTAGAATCATAGGCAGAATTGGCATGATGTTTCATCCTGAATGGCAGTTCAAATATGGTGCAATTTTACCATGATTGTTGCACAAGAAGAATCGTGGCCAAATGCGCATGTAAAATCGTGCCTGGCTCAGAGGCAAAATTTTCTCCCTGAGCTTCTTTGCCATGACAAACGCACATAGGGCAGCCCATTCAAGTGAGAAACATACGGAATCAAGTGAGAATCGCCCACACAAAGTCTCAAGCAGGAACATGTGCAGTGTGAACAGTCAAATAACACTGCCCTATGCGCATTCTGGTCCTGCGTCAGTGCAATTTTACATGCACGTTTTGCCATGTGGCATAACTGCAATGCTTTTTGGGGTGTCATTTAGGATGAATAGCAATAAAATGCGCGTCTTGCTGCAATTTGGAATCCCGTTCAGATTTCACGTTAGTGGGAATTAGTGTTCCTGCTCGTAATTTTTATAGCACAATTGACACGTGTCCGTTCACTTCAACAGGCTGTCCTGTGGGTGTTTGTCGCCTAAAAGAAGCTCCTGTTGCCTTTTTTGCTCAACAAAATCGCACCACGGTTGCGGTGCCATTAGGATTAATGCCACCCCAACATGCGTCTTGCTTTTTGAATCACAGCAATTCTGCCCACAATTTTAAATCGCCTAATGTGAACGGAATGTGGTCATCATCTGGTAATCTTCATCATCTGACAATCCTGATTGTCTAGATGTTAGTAAACATGTCCCTGTTGTCTGGAGGGGGCTGATATACACAGCAGTTCTTAACCGCTTCCCGACTGCCCTATAGCAGAAGTACTGTTACAGGGTGGCAGGGCTGCACACAATCACGTATATACACGTGATTTTGTTTTTCTGGGTATGGGGCATGCCACTATTGTTGGCTACAACGGTTGATCACTGGGTCCCGGATGGAGATTCCCCACCAGCACCCGGCGATCGCCAAGGAACAGTGACAGAGAAGAGGTCTGTATGTAAACAATACACATCTCTCCCCTGTCAACTCCAGCATGCTGCTTTGTATTGCTCTGCATAGCAAAACAATACAAAGCAGCGTGCTTACACAGTAAATCACACACAGACAACACAGTAAAACAGCACAGTTAACCCTTTGATCGTCCCACATGTTAACCCCTTCCTGCCCAGGGTCATTAGTACAGTATCAGTGTTTTTTATTAGCACTGATCGCTGTATTAGTGTCATTGGGGATATCAGTGACAGTTCCCACCCACTCTCAGAAGGCCAACCGCAGTCCCACAATAAGTCGCTGATCGCTGCCATTACTAGTATAAATTTGATTAAAAAAAAAAAAATTCCTCTATATATACACAGCCATTTGTAAATGCTATAACTTTCACGTAAAACATTTTACACATTTTGGGATTTTTTTATTTAGCAAAGACATGTAGCAGAATACATTTTGGCCTAAATTTATGACGAAATTTGATTTTTTTTTTTTTACTGTTTTGTAGCAAAAAGTTAAAAATATTTTTTTTTTCAAAATTGTTGTTTTTTGTTTATAGTGCAAAAAAAATAAATGCAGAGGCGATCAGATACCACCAAAAGGAATCTCCATTTGCAGGAAAAAAAAAGGACATAAAATTTAATTTGTGTGCAGCATTGATTGACCGCGCAATTGTCAGTTAAAGTATCACAAAAAATGGCCTGGTCAGGAAGGGGGGTAAATCTTCTGGAGGGAAAGTGGTAAAGGGGGAATAGCAGAAGAGAGTGGGGGGATGCAATTAGAGTGTGAGCTCCTATGTTGTGATGAGAGCAGGCAGACCTCACCTGACAGCAGCCTCTCGGCCTCCTCCCCGGCCGGGGGGTTGAGGAGATGGGCGAAGATGGCGGCGAACGGGTTGGCGGCGAGGGGCTCGGTTCGGTACATCTCCCACAGCAGGTAGAGGGCGGTGAGGCGCTGCGGGGAGGTGGGCAGGAGGTCCGGCTGCTGGAGGAGCATCACCAGCACCGAGCCCACCCGGAAATGGTCGGCCTTGGTGAAGTAGTGGTGGAAGGCGGTGGACAGGCCCTCGAACGTGTTACTGCAGGCCTCCTCCGTCAGGATGCCCAGGAGATTGGACAGCTCCTTCCCGCCCAGACTCATCGTGAGGTCGGCGACGACCGATACAGCAAACACCGCTAACCCTCCTCTTCTCGCATGAGACCGGAAATACTAAAATAAGGCGATAACGGTTAAAGACCACTCTGCAATGTCTTTGTCAATAAAGCTTTTTTGCGAAAATATTGCCGGCAGTAACGTACGGCACGGCAACCTCTCTGCGTGCGCGCTCCTGAGCCACAGACTGCGCATGTGCAGGACGAAGGGAACACTCTCCCTTAATAGCATATTGTGTTCTGTGTGTCTGGCTGTATAGTTGTAGAGTAGAGGTCTAGTAAATGTGTCCAGGGGCATGCCTCTCTGTGTTCTGAGGGAAAGAAGTGGGACAGTTTCTTGTACATTATTAGGCACTGTGCCAGTTATCAAGACCTCACAGAATTAAAGGAGTACACCTAGTGTATTCCAGCAGAATCTGTATAGGGTACAATAAGGCCTCATTCACATGGGCACTGTCCGTAGGGTTGTCACCCCATTCGTTTAAAACCGAACACATATTAATTACACAGGTTTTGTAGCTGATTAAGGTGGTAATTAAAACTCATTGCTTCACCTGCATTAACCACTTACCCTCCAGAGGATTTACCCCCTTCCTGACCAGGCCATTTTTAGCGATATGGCACTGCGTTACTTTGACAATTGCACAGTCATGCAATGCTACACCCAAATTAAATTTACTGCCTTTTTTCTCACGAATAGAGCTTTCTTTGGTATTTGATCATCTGTGCCTTTTTTTAATTTTTTTAGGTTATAAAAAAAACCAACAATTTTGAGAAAAAAAACAATTTTCAACTTTTTTCTATTAACCACCTCCCATCTGGCCGTTGTATATAAACTGCTGGATGGTGGCAGTGCAGGGTTGGGTGGCCGTTTATAAATGGCCTCCCAGCCCCCTGCTTGTGCAGGGAGCGCGTTTCTGCACGATCCAGTGCCCACAGTGAAACACGGTCGTACGGGACCTCTGTGCAAGATCACGAGCATGTGATCACTGATTGGCCAATCAGTGATCACATGCAGAGTAGTAAGCAAGATGTCACTTCTCACATCATTGCTTATTACGTGTGAAATCTGTGAATGATCACAGAGGTCACATGGTACAAGGCCATTCACAACAGCCTTGTACCATGTGACAAGTTGTGACCAATCACAACTCACATAGTAGTTCTCTTTTACTATAAAGAGAACAGAATACATTTTGGCCAAGATTTCTGATGAAATATTAATTATTTGCAAAATTTTATAAGAAAAACACTTTTTTTTCAAAATTTTTGGACTTTTCATTTACATGGCAAAAAAAAAAATCCCAGTGGTGAATAAATACCACCAAAATAAAACTTTATCTGTCTAAAAAAAATGCTAAAAAATTCATATGGGTACAGTGTTGCATGACCGCGCAATTGTCATTCAAAGTGTGATAGCACTGAAAGCTGAAAATTGGCCTGGACAGGAAGGTTGTAAAAGTGTCTTGTGGTTAAACATGTCCAGTAAAAAAAATGTTAAAAATCAAATTTTATCATGAATTAAGCTTTCTTTCAGTGGTAGTTGACCGATTGTGCGGTTTTTATTTTTTGCACTATGAAAAAAAAAACCTACAATTTTGAGCGAAAAACCCAATATTTTTGACTTTTTGCTATTACACATGTATAACGGAACCGACCCAGACTGCGCTTAAGTACTTCCATTAGAATACCGCTTCCCCAACCGAACACCGACAACAGACACCACAGCCGACCATACAAGACTAGACGACACCAGTCCCGAATTAAACCAGGAGGTAGACTACTTTATTTGAATACAGATACAAGATATATACACTCAGGGGACAACCCCCCCTCCCTGCATAATGACACAGGGCGGGGCAATCTACATTTAGTAACAAGAGACACACAGGTTTTCAAACTTCACACCAGCAGACAGTCCCATCAGGAGGGAGGGCTGCTGGAGACACCCCCACTAAGCTAATAATGACACAGAGCGGGGCAATCTACATTTAGTAACAAGAGACACACAGGTATTCAAACTTCACACAAGCAGACAGTCCCATCAGGAGGGAGGGCTGCTGGAGACACCCCTCCCCCCCCCACTAAGCTACTACACATAAACACATACATCCCATAATGGTATGCTCCCAAGCAAGAAACACAATAAAACAATGGGATGCAGCCACATGACATTAACGATCAACAACCCCCACCCCATCTATCTCCTAAACATGTCTAGACAAAGCCCACACAATATTAGGACAGATCACCCTGTACCCCTAACAGGCACAGGGTGATTTACACATAACAGGGATATGGGGAGCTGAGACAGGGGTCTCCCCACCTCTCCAAAGCGAGCTGGGTTCCATGGGCCCCCCCACCCAAAGTGACTTCCATCACAACATGTCCAGTAAAAAAATTTTAAAAGTAAAATTTCATCATAAATTTTGGCCAAAATGTATTCTGCTACATCTTTGCTAAATAAAAAATCCAAATATGTGTAAATTAACCACTTGCCCTCCTGAGGATTTACCCCCCTTCCTGACCAGGCCATTTTTTGTGTTACTGCACTGTGTTATTTTAACTGACAACTGTGCAGTCATGCAACGCTGCACAAAATGAAATGTATGTCCTTTTTTTCCCCATGAATTGAGCTTTCTTTTGGTGGTATTCGATCGTCTGTGCCTGTGCAAGACTGACAATTTTGAGAAAAAACTATATTTTTTACTTTTTGCTATTAAACATGTCCAGTAAAAAAATTTAAAAAATCAAATTTCATCATAAATTTACACCAAAATGTATTCTGCTACGTTTTTCCCAAAAAAATCCCAATATGTGTAAATTAATTGGTTTTCGTGAAAGTTATAGCGTTTATTTTCTTGCTATCTGTCTCTCTGTGTTACAATACACCTACCATTCGATTTTTAGACTGATCATTTCTTTGTGAGTGGGCAAACATTCATAATCAGCAGGGGATCAAATACTTATTTCCTTCGCTCATTGTATATATATATATATATATATATATATATATATGTACTAAATGGTCATGTGTGGACAGGCTGTGAGACAATTGTGAAGAGTAAAGATACCATCATTCCCTCGTCATTCCCTGTATGAGGAGAGGGGGACTCTGCAGAGAAATGAAGAATTCATACAGGAGGTCCATAGGCCACACAGAGAGAGTGCCAGCCATTAGCTGCTTAGTGGAAGCACCGGCCCTGACTGTGACCTTTCTATCATCTCGAACAAGTCTGCCCATTTTCCTCTGTCCTCTGACACCAACAAGGCATTTTCATCCACAAAACTGCCCGCTCACTGGATGTTTTCTCTTTCTCGGACCATTCTCTCTAAACCCTAGAGGTATCTGTGTGTGAAAATCCCAATAGATCAGCAGTTTTTGAAATACTCAGACCAGCCCATCTGGTACGAACAACCATGCTACGTTCAAAGTCACTTAAAGTGTTACTAAACCCAGGATCCTGCATTCACTATATCTGGTCTCCCACAGTACACAGAACATTTAAGTGCAATTATTTTAGTAAATATAAACTGCTAAATACCTTTTCTCATCAGCATTATATAGCAATCTTGTGTCTATCAGTGTCCAGCAGAGCACTGGTTAAAGCTTGTAGGAGGAGTTTTCATTCTTCTCTCACTGCCCTATGAGATTGCATAACCCCTGACCCTCTGTCTGGACAGTGCTGATTGGCCCTGTACGGATCACATGTACCCTCTCAAGAAAAAAAAACCTCTCTATCAGTATACACCAAACTGAGCATGTGCAGAGTGTCCCTGAGTCTGTGTTCTATCAGGAGATGAAATGGAGAATGTGGAAGAAGGGGAGGATCAGAGAAGACAGGATCAAACATCCTTTTTACACAATACAGAGCATTAACCCCTTAAAGTGGAGTTCCACTCACCCTGAAAAAAAAAAAATCAGCAGCTACAAAAACTAGCTGCTGACTTTTAAAAAACAGCTACTTACCTGTCCCTCAGTCCCATGTTGTGTCCCCCGCAGCCCGTTTCACTGGCTGTCCTGTATTCCAGGAGGCCGGCATCTTCAGTGTGGGCACCTGGCTGTGATAGCTTGCAGCTTCACAGCCGGGTACCCACTGCGCATGCGCGAGTAGTGCTGCGCTTCATGAATGGTCCTGTAGTCTTCTGGGACCTGTCACATGTCCCAAAAGACTACAGGGAGGGAGGACACCTTTTGTTTCGGATCGCCTAGGCGATTGGACCAGAAGTGGGAGCGGGTACCTGTCAAATTCGGGTACCCGCTCCCCCCCCTGCCCCCAAAGATGCCATTCCTTAAAACGGAACTTCCCTTTTTGGGTGGAGCTCCGCTTTAAGTTCCACAGTGAGTATAACAAGCATGCTTTACTGCATATACAGACTGATTTTACTGTTGTGGGTTTAGTAAGACTTTAACTGCTTCCCGACCGCCCTATAGCATGTACACTGCTACAGGGCAGCACGGTTGTGCAAAATCGTGTATGCTTACATACTGCTGCCTCTCTTCCTAATGAGGTTAGGTCAGAACTATACTTTTCCTATCAGGCCAAAATCCTATCGGGCCTGACGGTACCAGTGTTATTTCAGTCCCGCTGATACTCTGGATTGTTGACATGGATCCCATGGAACAATGCGCAGAGTGTGAGCATTGTGGGATAATATCCAAAATCTTGAAACTGTTCCACATGATCTAGGACTGTGGGCAAATGAAATGTTTATAGGAACCCATTGGTTCTCTGAGCAATTCCCCTTCAATCACATTAACTCCCCACAAACCAGTGCATGGGCCATTTCTATCAATCCTGCCAAAGTTGTCATAGAGAGGTTGAAGTAGGTAGGGGCAGGTGGGGCTGTAGAACCTTGTGATTGCACCCTATTGAAGATATATGCCATCTGGCTGTCACTAATTTATTGGACCTTGCAGCCAAAGGGTCACTCGGTAAGGATGCAGCCCAATAAAGCCATGCCTTCTATGGTTGTATCTCAGAAGATAACCTTAGAAGGCCCCTTCTAGTACCTGCTTCTGCTATTACATGTAGGGTTCAATTTATTTTATCTTTTAAGACAAGAGGGAAAATGAAAAGGTCCCTGTTTGGCTAGTTTTTGAAAAGAAAATAGCAAAAGTGTACTAAAAGAAACCTGTCAGGAGGGAACTATCGAGAGTCTGTTACTGATTTCTCCTGTGCTATTTTCTGGGGGGGGGGTTCCAGATAAAAGGTAGGTTGTTCTGAGTACAGCTTAGGTACAATTAACATTTCTAGATATTCCCTAAAACGTAATACATTTCACTTTTTGAGTTCAGGTACAATGTAGCCCTTTTCTTTTGCTGTCAGAGCCATTTTTTTTCATTTTGCACACACATGCTATACTTCACTTTATGCACATAAAACACTCTTAAACCCCCAAAACACCATGGGGGGGATTTCCTAAAACCGTTGCACCAAGAATTTGGTGCAACTGTGCATGGTAGCTAATCAGCTTCTAACTTCAGCTTGTCCAATTAAAGCTGAACTATGCTCACCTTCAGTGCTGGTGCAGTGCGAATCTGATGCGGTTTCACAGTGCGATTTCTCCTGTGTCAGGTGTTAATTGAATACGATTTCTGAGTGGACTGGGCATAGCAGGAGATTAAATTCGCACCACAACCACACTAAATTCGTAAACCACTGGTCACCAAGGTGTGTTTTAATATTACTGTCACTGACCAACCACCAATGGGGGGGGGGTGCTCCTATTGACCACTAATGAAGTGGGGTTTCTACGGGATCAAATTTGCACCGCATATATATGAATAGCCTGCATTGGAAATAATGCTTTTTTAGATTACATGCAAATCTATGCTTTTCGGATTGCATCTGATCCACATAGAAGTTGCATCAGTGTGAACTGGCACTCAATCCACCAATACAGTGTCCTGGTGCTCCCCATCTGTCCACTGACATCTTCAGGCAGCTGGCTTCCGGGTCTTGGTCGCCGGCCACTGTCATTGGCCAGGCAGGGATGACATAACTCCCACGCATGTACATGTGAATTCAGTCAGGTCCGGCATTGCTAAATTTGTACAGTGAGCTGCGCCTGCAGTTCGTGAGTGCTGCACGACCTATATGAGGCTCTTTTCTTTTGTCTTACACATGCTTTACGCTACTTTCCATTATGAAAAGCTATTGTTTCACGTAACTTCTTAACTGTGTTGTACATTTCAATCATTTCCATACCCCTGTGTGGGTTAATCCTTCTATTACTCAACCATTTGCTTTTAAAATGCATCCAACATTTACAAATTGTATGTTCCAAAATCTTTTTAATGAAGTTATTTTGGTACCAATAAAAAAAAATAATTTTAGTGAACACAAACTGAATACGATTTCAATATTTTCTTGTAAATATAAAAGGTAAGACTGAGTTGAGTAAACAGATACCTAATATGTCAAGAGTTAAAAATTGTGTGTATCTGTGAAATGGCGACAAAGTATGATAACCAAAGTTGCTCATAGGCGACTTTAAAACCTTTTACAGCTCATCAGTTTAAAGAGAACTATAAATATGCTCCACAATTATTCTTTTCACTACAGTTTGTGCTGTGATACCTAATATGAGTTGCTCAGTTGTCATGTTTTTCCCCCCAATATTTTTATTAATTCGGTGCAGTTGACATTTTTTGTATGCCCCACGTGAGCATTTGTATAGGCAAATGCTATTTTTTATAATTAATTTAAATATATATATTTTTTATTTATTTTTCTTTACACTTTTTTTTCACCTCATGTCATGATTGCAACAAAGGGAGCTTAGATCTGAGCCCCTCTGGGGCAATGGAGAAACAGAGGTCTCTTGTCTCCCCTCTACTTCACATCCTAAATTACATCATGGTCGTCCATTTAAAGCTACAGGCCCAGCTAATACTACCATGTCCATGGAATTAAATATTTTTTTTAAGGTTTCAAGGTTACTGAAAGCCAAATAGGGATGGAGCTGTCCAGGCAAAGTGGAGCCTTCACAGGCCGAAAGAATGGACAAGGACTCCCCAGCCTAACACATAAGTAAGAAAACACTGTCATCCAAAGTGTACTGGCTGCAAAGAAACTATAGCAGCAGTGAGGCTGCTTGTTGTATTAGGAAAGGTGCAGACACAAGAGTGCTGATACACCAGATCTTTTGGAGGATACACCAACTGCATGGATACTATTGGTCCTATTTCCATGGGCTCCAGTAGCTGCTGGTTGGTGTTCATACTATAGGGTTGATTTACTAAAACTGGAGAGTACAAAATTTGGCTCAGCTATGCATGGTAGCCAATCAGCTTCTGACCTCAGCTTGTTCATTTAAAGCGGAGCTCCACCCAAAAGGGGAAGTTCTGCTTTAATAGTTTGTCCCCCGTTCCCCATTAAGGATTGGCACCTTTGGGGAGGGAGTACCTGAATTTGACAGGTACCCGCTCCCACTTCTGCTGCGATCCGCCCTCCCTCCCCGTAGTCTTCTGGGAAACGTTATAGGTCTCTGAAGACTACGGGGCCATTCACAAAGCGCAGTGCTTCTCGTGCATGCGCAGTGGGCACCCGGCTGTGAAGCCACAAGTTGTCACAGCCGGGTGCCCACACTGAAGATGCTAGCGCCAGGGAGAGAAGACGGCTGGTAAAACCAGCGGTGGTGAGGACACCGCTGGACCAAGGGACAGGTAAGTGTCCGTATTTTTAAAGACAGCAGCTACAGTTTTTGTAGCTGCTGAGTTTTTTTTTCAGGTGGAACTCCACTTTAAGCTTTCCCAAAAAAAAAACTGGAAGCCGATTGGTTTCTATACAGAGCTGCATCAAATTTTGCACTCTCCAGTTTTAGTAAATCAACCCGTTACATTTTTTTTCATCTGCTGAGACACTTTGTTCTTTCCTGTCTCCCTGTGGATATTTGAAAGAGACTTTAAAGTGGACCTTTCCCCCCTTTCACATAAAATCACATCAGCATGTATCTCTTCATGCTGATATGAAATCATCTTACATTCACTAGTTATACAAATATGTTTTGCTTTTACTTACAATTACTCCTACAACCTGGTTGAGTGAGGTACTGGTGATGTAATCAGGGTCTCACAGAGGTATCCTGCATGTCATATGTTCCAGGAGGCATACCTAGAGTTCCAGGAAGTAAAGATGTTAGTGTAGTTCAGTAGTTTGAGATTATTACTGGAAGTCCAGGGAGTATAGTTTTTTTTGTTGCATTATTCTTTGACTTTTATATTTGCCTGGAGTTCAGCTTTAGGACTGAATACTCAGGTTCATGTAAAGACCTAATCATGAATGGTTACTTTTGAAACTCAAGACCCAGAGCACTGCCAGATTTACAGTATAAGGGGGCCAAAGGGGTAACTGCCCTGGGTCCCCTGACAAAAGGGGCCCACCTCTATACAAAATAATATAAAACAATATAGAAAAACATATAAAACAATACAAAATAAATACCAATAAAATGACATATGTATAATAATAAATTATTTTTTATGAAATGTATCTTGGGACGTAATATTTCGGCAGTCATCATCTGTAATAGTTTTTACTCTGGACTGGTATATTTTATAATTTTTAAAAACAAATTTTGGTAGCTCCAGCGAACCACACATAGAACACTTACATAAGGAAGGTCATCTATGACTGCATGTGTATGTGTGTGTACTTGTGACCTCATATTGACATTGCGTCATGCATTTTGAAAATGTATGACAGTTATTGAGAATGTAAACAAACTCTGTATGAAGGGGCCCCCAAAACCTGAAGTGCCCTGGGCCTCCCATAGTCTAAATCTAGCCATAACCCAGGTATGTATATCATATACCTGATGGGCCACTGGAAAACCTGGAATCACTGTAATAGCCAGCACTACTACACTGATAGCTGCCATCTTCTGGGTCTGGTGTGAATGGCCTCCTACCTGACCACAAGAAGGCACTTGCTTGGCACTGCTGTCGTACATTTTTTAATTCTTACAAGACTTTCTCTGAATGGGCACGGTGGAGAGGACGGGCAGTGATGTCCAGTATTTATTAAAAAAAACAAGGTGTTTTACAACCCCAATTCCAAAAAAGTTGGGACACTGTAAAATCTACATAAAAACAATGCAATGATTTGCAAATCTCATAAACCCATATTTTATTCACAATAGAAAGTAGAAAACATATCAAATGTTTAAATTGAGAATATTTTAAAAGAGAAGTGTGGAATTAAAAAAAAATGTTATACTCACCTAGGTGGATGCTGCAGCTGTCCCCAGCCAGTGTTTGATCACTCAGTTCTCTCCTCCTCTCAGAGCAGTGTGGTGACTGACATTCTCCAGCTCTCTGCTCTGCCTCTCGAGCACTCACTGAAGAGCCATGCTGTGGAAGGAGCGGGAGGGGCTGGTTCAGGCTCTCGGCGGATCTCTGAGAAGCAGAGCCAGGTGCCGGTCCAGGCTTCTGGGTGGATCCCGACCATATCATTATGAGTGACATCAGCCGACAGTGCACTTTAGCCCTCTGACGGCTGAAAACGGGTCACAGGAGTGCAGCATAAACTGTACTCCTGTGACCTATGAGAGATGTACAGTCAACATAGCTTTGGTTATATTTCTCCTTTAAGAAAAAAATAAACTAATGTTGGACCAATGTAAGCATGCAAGATCATACCTGGATGTCAGCTTTAATTTTAATCACATTAAAAATCCCATTAAAAATAAAAAAAAAATATGTTTCGTCTGATGATTTTTTTTTACATTTACAAATTCTTTTTTTTTTAATCTTTTTATTAAAGTTTACAGGTACTGGAACAGTACATCTTATAGACAACAAAAAGTAAAACAAAAAAGAATAATAATCAGTGTGTTACCCACGCAGGGGTATAGAATGAGGAGTACAATGAAAGTACATATGAAAGCACAGGTAACACTGAAATAAATGTGGTGTGGCTTCTCATCTTCAATCCTTCCAGTGGCAGTACATAACATAAAAGAAAACATATCTTGTGATTTCATGAAAGGTCCTGTTGAAATCAATACTTCCAAAGAAGCTTTATGAGAGAGAAAAAAGGAGATCAATTGGTAATTATGAAGCAGTACTGGGGTCCGCTAACCATTTAGACCACACTTTGTCATACTTGACAGGACAACGATGGTTGGTATAAGTATCCCTATAGAACAGGAGATTATTACTTATCAATTGTTTCCAAAATGAAATAGTGGGGGGGAGGGGGGTGTCTTTTTTCCAGTGTACAGCAATGGCCTTTCTGGCATAAAAGAGGAGACTGACCAAGGTTTTTTACGCTCTAGTAGGGATAACTTTGTCAACCAAACCTAACAAGCACATTTCCAAAACCAAAGGAACAGGGGTCAAAGTAAAAGCGTTAAGGAATGAGATATGTTCATCTTATGAAGGGAATAAAGTAGGTGCTGTGCACTATTTTGAATTGGATCAGCCGATCCCGCGGGGAAACCAGTGTCTGGAATGGAAGATCTCAAATGTCTTTCCAGGCATAATTATTAAGATATAAACTCTTAATTTTATATTAATCTAAAATTCTGGCGCGCTACTCAAATATCCTTTGGATTCACCTATAAAAAATGAGATACTCTCAATATTGCTAAAAATATTATCACAAAAAGTGCAAATATGCAAAAAATAAAGCAAACAAAAGCAGCTATTGGCACTTCTATTAACAAAATTGGCACTTCTTGTACCTGGACTGATTTCCATCACAGCACTTTTATTGGACTTATTCTTAATGTACTTTGATATATGGACTTTGTTACATACACATTATTTGTATCACAACATGTACAGTGCCTTGAAAAAGTATTCATAGGATGTCTGAATTAGCTCTAACACTGTCTTCACCTGTGAAAAAAAATCTTTTCGGATATATGTGGACAAATGCTGAGATCAAAACAAAGGCTGCAAGCATTTAGCAAATTTACTACTGTTATGTTTGTAAACATTAATATTATACAGGACTTATATAGCGCCGACAGTTTGCCCAGCGCTTTACATTATGGAGGGAGACAGTACAGTAACAATACAGTTCAATACAAGAGGGATTGGTGGGCCCTGCTCCTTGGAGCTTACAATCTAGGAGGGAGGGGAACAATCTAGGAGGGAGCCATTGTAAATGTACACTATATTGGTAAAAGTATTGGGACACCCCTCCAAATCATTGGGTTCAGGTGTTCCAATCATCTCCATGGCCACAAGTGTATAAAATCAAGTACCTAGGCATACAGACTGCTTCTACACACATTTGTGAAAGAACGGATCACTCTCAGGAGCTCAGTGAATTCAAGCGTGGTACCGTGATAGGTTGCCACCTGTGCAATAAGTCCATCCGTGAAATTTCCTTTCTACTAAATATTTCACGGTCAACTGTTAGTGGGTTTTATAACAAAGTCGAAGCAACTGGAAACAACATTAACTCAAAGTGGTAGCCAATGTAAAATGACAGAGCTGGGTCAGCGTATGCTGAAGCGCCCAGTGAGCAGAAGTCGCCAACTGTCAGCAGAGTCAATAGCTAAAGACCTCCAAACTTCATGTGGCCTTCAGATTAGCACAACAACAGTGCGTAGAGAGCTTCATGGAATGGGTTTCCATGGCCAAGCGGCTGCATCCAAGCCTTACATCACCAAGTGCAATGCAAAGCATCGGATGCAGTGGAGTAAAGCATGCTGCCACTGGACTCTAGAGCAGTGAAGACGTTCTCTGAAGTGACGAATCACGCTTCTCTGTCTGGCAATCCGATGGATGTGTCTGTGTTTAGCGGTTGCCAGGAGAACGGTACTTGCCTGACTGCATTGTGCCAAGTGTAAAGTTTGGTGGAGGGGGGTTATGGTGCGGGTGTTGTTTTTCAGGGGTTGGGCTTGGCCCCAATGTTCCAGTGAAGAGAACTCTTAAGGCATCAGCATACCAAAACATTTTGGACAATTTCGCACTCCCAACTTTGTGGGAACATTTTGGGGATGGCCCTGTCCTTTTCCAACATTACTGCCCACAAGTACACAAAGCAAAGTCTATAAACACATGGATGAGCGAGTTCGGGGTGCAGGAACTTGACTGGCCTGACCTCAACCCGATAGAACACCTTTGGGATAAATTAGAGCAGAGACTGCGAGCCAGGCCTTCTTCTCCGACATCAGTGCCTGACCTCACAAATGCACTTCTGGAAGAATGGTCAAACATTCCCATAGGCACACTCCTAAATCTTGTGGACAGCCTTCCCAGAAGAGTTGAAGCTGGTATAGCTGCAAAGGGTGGGCCAACTCAATATTGAATCCTACGGACTAAGACTGGGATGCCATTAAGGTTTGTGTGCGTGTATAGGCAGGTGTCCCAATACTTTTGGCATTATAGTGTTTTTTCATACCTAATGTTGGTCATACACACTTGAAAAAAAATTGATGAGTTTTCAGAATGATCTTTCCTAATAGGAATAATTG